TTCTTAAGATGATTAATTAAGGAAAGTCGTGTTAATGACTCACTCCATTGAGTAAAAGGCTATATGCCTACATATATTCTAATAGCGAGATTAAATTTTTGGAATGGGAAGAACAAGAATATAAAATTCCAAAATATGAGTATTATGTTTTCCCCATATTAAATAGAAATACTCACCTTCAAAAAAAAGTACTCAATATAATACAGAGTAGTAATTACTATCATAATTGGTAGTTTTCCAAACATGGTAGTTATTCTTCTTATTTAGAGCCCGTTTGATAACACTGAAATCAGCTGAATCAGCTGATTCTGCTAAAATTTATGAAGTTCTGGCTGAAGTGGTTGTATTGGCTGCTTTGACTGATTTATGAAAAAATATTTAAAATATATTTTATTAATAAATGAAAGAAAAAATTGAATGAAAAATAGCTAAAATGGTCATCTATCGTAACTTCAACCTTATTTTTTCTTATTACTAGTTTTGTACTTGGGCGTTGCTCCGGGTGCAACTCCCATATGAAACATTTAGTTTATAATTTGTATGTGTGTGAAATATATCTTTCTTATGAATTTTCTAATTCTCATTGCCAAAAGCATTGAAATATTTATTAAATTGATATAATATCATATAAAACCGCATAAATTGGTAATATTTATCCCATTTTTCCTTTTTCATCCCTCACACTAAGGATATATTTACTTGGATTGTTTTCAGTCGCTGACCAGACTAGACCAAACTTAAACAGATCAAACCAGACCAGATCAGACTTAAAAGGATCAGACTTGACTTCCGTAGTTATAAAATACACAGAGACCAGACGTTAACCAGGCTAGACCTGACCAGTTCAGACGAGACCAGACTTAAACAGACTAGACCACACCAGACCAGCAAATTATTGTCCAAGTAAAAACATCCTAAATTTGTCTCATAAGAAAAACATAATGAATCTATTTTGGAATTCTGAAACTTATTTAGGGGGGTGTATTGTATATGGATTGTGGTGAATATTTTTTTATCCGTGGATTTTTAAAAAAGTTCGTGGATTTTTGAATCCATAAACTTTTAACTCGTGGACTTTAATTCCATAGACTTTTAAGTTCGTAGACTTTTAAAATGAATGACTTTTGAATGAATGGCTTCTATTGATTTAAATAAATCCATAGACTTTTATATGGATATAAAAGTTTAATCGAAATGAGGTCAAGTATTGTATAATAAAAAATAATAATTTGCTACTGAAACTTATGGATAAAAAATATTCATTTTCAACGGTTATCCACATTTCAATAGCAAGATTCATTCTTCATTTGTTGGAATTTGCCCTTTGTTGATCTTGTATCTGTAAATCTTCTCATTCAAAATTATTTTAATTATCGCAAGGTGGATCCTTTTCTAAGTTCGGTGGAAATTCATTATATCGATATTTTCGTTGAAGAAAATCCTGCACATGCCTGCACATTTCTGCACATGCCAAGACTAGTAATAAAAAAATAAAAAATGTTGTCGCAATTAATTACATATGGGTATCGATCGGATCTTACTCACCAAAACCCTAAAAATAGAACACATGTACTAATGATTAATGAGTTAATGACTAATTGATAACATATTTATTACTGGACAAACATACTTTATTCGTGTCAATAGGGGACCCAAACCCATTACTCGTATTTCACTATATATAGCTTTGTGATTTACCCAATTGGAATAGCACATGCGACATAGAAGAATAAGCAGAAGGAAAGAGGGAGAATAGGGAAGAGGAAAGACTGCTTCGGTTTGGAGAAGCAAGAAAATGGCGGAAACAAAGTCCATAGAAATCTTGTTGGGGAGGGTGAGAAAATAATGGAGAAAATCTATTTGTATAAAGACTTTTGAAGTCCATCAATATGAATGATTATCCAATTCCATGTTTCATAATTATTTTGAATACACCTAAATTTTTATTCATTTTTAAGAGTCTATATATTCAATGCACCTAAACTTTGGTGGATTTGTTAATGACTTTTTAAAATCTTAATTGAATACAACTAGATTTTCATGAACTTTAAAAATCAATATTAAATACACCTAAACTTTAGAATTCCATAGACTTCTAAAATTTTACCACTAATTCTATATACAATACACCCCTTAGTCCAATTTTCAGAATCCATTTTAAACTCTTTTCAAGTATTAGGTACACATCAAAATACTCCATTGACATTGGCCATATTCTCTATTGTTTCCAAACAAGGAGTAGCATCGTTGTATTTTCACTATTTTAGCACAAATTTAGTAAATGAAAGAAACTAAATTAAATGTGGTGATAATAGTGATCGCTCATTGATTGATTGTTCATAGGACATTGGTCATATCGGAATCACGTGTGAAAAGCGCTCGTGAATACAGGCACTTTGGACTGATTAGCATTTTTCAACCACTAAAGCATTGTTGAATTCACCAAACAACCGCAGTTCTGCTACTTTCAGTTATTCATTCATACGATCAATAAAGTACTCGGTTTCCATCTCGTTTCATGTGTCTAATTAGTACGGACTACATTAAAGCAAAATTATTTTAAAATATGCACCAAGAACTTCTTAAAATTAGCAGTGAAATGGCTATTGACTAACCACAAATCAACTTTGTTTGGTGTACACCTTTTGTGTATACACTTCTGTCCCAAGACGAGTTGTCTGTCAGCAGACAACTTATCTGCTGGGGACAGACGTGTGTACACAAAAAGTGTACACCACGCATTTTTCAACCACAAAATGGGATGACACCCCATCCCTGAGAGCCCCCAATCTGACCGGATGGTACGTTGGGAGATGTAAATTGGACTATAATCACAATCTGACAGATAGAGAGTGTGGTTCTGTCCCCAGTACTTGCAGAAGTCCTATGCATTTTTTTAATATAACCATAAAATAATTAGAAATTGCCCTAGATAGGAGCAAAAACGTTTTTAAAATTCCAAAATAGGAATATCATGTTTTTTTTATTCCGTGAACAGGAGTAATCTGCCAAATTTGGAAGAAAATGTCATGTTTAAAGCCTATCAATGCCAATCTTAACAAAAATTTACTCCTATTCAGAGAATAAAAAAATATGATATTGGAATTTCAAAACTTTTTTACTCATATTTAGGGAATTTTGTCTAAAATAATTTTAATGAAAATATATGAAATAGGAAAATGGATCTTTAGCAAGCAATGAAAATTAAGATGCTAAAATGAGACAAAAGGGCCTGAAGGGGTATACAAAATGGTAAGATACTTTTGGTATACAAAAGATGGAGTGACAAAAAAATACCCCGTATATTACTCTACTTGCGTTCCAAACTACTCCCTCGGTAAGGATTTCATGTAGTTTAAGAAATTATATACAAATTTGAAAAAGTGGGGTTTGTAATATATCAGTGCTTTGCATTTTATAAGTTGTACCTTAATTGACTCCTAGGTTGGTCGTTTTCCAAAAAAGGAAGTAAGGTAAATATACTCTGTATTTCGGAAGAATGCAAAACACTTATCCCACAAAACTTGACCAAAATTAACTTATACATAGTTTAATAAAATAAAATTTCTCTGGTTGAAATTTGTGTAGAAAAGAGAGAAATAACTTTAGCCAAATAATATGAATTTTAAGTATGTTTTCACTTCAAAAGTACTTGGTATAGTTTTCAAATCTAATATGCAGGTTTTAATTGGACTGGTCGACTCTAAACTAATCTATTGTCGTACATTTAAAACTAATACGAAGTATGATTTGAGCTAGTATATTTGAGTCACATTTGGTTTGGTCAAAGTTGGTCTACTTTGTAATGTCATACTACGTATATTCTCTCTTACTATTTCAAAGGGGCCGATTACTAGCGACTTAATGGACTTGTTGCGAAAACTTATTTAATCATTTTATTGTAATGTAGTAGCCTTCTGATAAGGCGTCTGTTAAGACGTTTATTCAACCAATGTTTTAAACAGATTATAAAATACATTCATGTTAATAACTAAAAGTGACGCACATTGAAAAGAAAAGATTGGATAATCTTAGCAACATTATCAAGGGACTATGTATAGTCACGGACAGAGTGAACAGGTAAAAAGAATATTTTTGAAAAAAATTACACAAGATTTTTTAAAATTTAGAGTGAGTCGGGCTTAATTGCCCCTTAGCCCCGCCTCTGCGTATAGTGGATTTCTCCTCCACTTTTGCAAGCAACAGCCACCATAAAAATTAAGCATAATTAGGCATAACTAAATAACCTAGGTGGCCGGCGTTTGTTAAGTTCATGAAAGCCAACAATGATAGACTCTATGTTATTAGTCATAGAAGGGTAGTTTAGAAATTTTATATGTTACTCCGTATCATGCATTAAAAATAAGTAGGTCGCTATATATAATTATTATTTTGTGACAATATAATTTCTCCGCAAACAATCAAACATAATTGCATCCTATTTTGCTTTTTAAACAATATGGCCCTGTTTGTATAATGGCGGTTTGAGGGAACGTCTCATTTTTTTAACTAAAAATGCTGCTAAAAGCAGTCAGTTTGTTGGTTCGGATCCACTGAAAAACAAACCGCCCCTATATATCCACTCAATTTTATACAAGTGAGCTTTTTTACCACAATATATAGGCAATTAGGCTCAAGGAGGAGTAACCCGCGGTGGGAATTAACCTATTTTCAAACTCAAAAGATTTAAATTAGAAAAATGCTTGATGTACACATTTTGATGCACACCTTTCGTACATTCGTCTGTCTCACGCACACAGATTTCTCTGTCCACAGACAATTGTTCAGAATTGTCTGTGGACAGAAAATTCTATGTGTGTGAAACAAATGAGTGTACGAAATGTGTACACCTAGCACAACCCTTTAAATTATAGGGAATAACAAAGATATATTGCTCTATAATTAGCTTTTAAAAGTCCAAGTTCCCAATTATTGCTTTAACCTAATAAATCTCTCCTTACTTTAAGGTAAGAACCTAACCTCCTCATCGAACGGGCAACGGGCAGCCCAAGCCCTATCCCCTCCACCATGATTGATCTACTAAACCCTACGTATATATCATCAACTCATCTTCTATTTTACCGTCCAAACATTATCAAACCAATTCCACCTAAAATCCTCTCTATTATACCCTTTTCTCTTCATTTTGTTTAAAATAATATTACTCCGTATATAAATATATACCCTCATATATCTCAATCCGTATATCTATGTGGAGTATATATAGATAAATTATCATATGTAGATATATATATATATATATATATATTTAACAAATAGAAGAAACTTTTTATTTTAGTATGTTTCCAGAACTGAAATCATGAGTCCACACAGGTAAAAAGTTTTCCGTTTCTTCAAACAGCCATCCTCCAATATCGAATGGGGCCTTCTTGTAGACGACGAAAACAAAAAGGTTCACCGAAATCAAGAACCCTTAAATCCTCACCGTCCGATTCTCCCGCGGAGACGAAGTCAACCGAGTCAACGGTCAACGCTATTGACCAAGAAGGGCGGCCTGGTGGCGGCGAGATTGAAGCGGCGGCGGATGATATTTGTTTGACGCCGAAAGCTGAGAGGTTTCGGATACCGAAGATCAAGACGTGCCCTCCGGCGCCAAAGAAGAGGCGGCGGACGACTGTGGGGAAGAGCTGCTCGGTGCGGCGAATACCCATCGCGTTCTTTGCTCCGGCGGACTTAGACCTCTTCTTTTACGTTGAACTTCGCGGCGGCCGCGGCGGAGTTCCTGTTTGAATGATAAGTTGTACTGGTGTACTCTCTCATGTTAATTATTAATTAGTTTAATGAAATATCAACCCTACTTTAATTGTTCTTTTATGAATTTCAATTTAGTGACGCTTGATTTCGTAGTTGTGTGGTAAATTATGTTTAAGCCCTTTTAATTATCCAATTAGTTAATTATCATCACGTAGATAGTTATTTGTAGTAGTACTAACTTTAAGGATTCTTGAAGAATTTTTCATAAATGAGGATTCTTGAAGAGTTCGTGTACCATTATAGATTGATTTAATTTGGTTAAGTTTAAGTCTAGTTCTTGGTAAAGTTTTGGTCAAATAAAACTATGGCATATATATGTATTTTACTATTTTAGTATGTGTGCTATTGTTTAAGTTTGTTCCCATCTGTTTTATTTAAATCTAATCTAGTTCAAGATTGAATGAGATTGAAACAAATCAAGAAACGTCCTAATTAATTATGCCTTTGTCTGCGTTAATTTTTCTGTTACAGTTTCTCCCATTTTTTTTGTTATTTTTGGTCCACAGTTTTTGCCAAAATGATTATCTCTTAGGAATTTATTAGTTCATATTTTGTACTTTATCCTGTTCAAACTAAGAGGCCGTTTGGCAACCCTCATTTCAGCTTAACAGGCTTATCAGCCAACTTTTTTACCAAACACGTAAATTTTGCTTTTGCGCGCTGAATTGTGTAATAAGCCGAAAAAGTAAGGTTGGAGTTACTTTTCTGGCTGTATTGGCTGAAGTTACTGTAGATGACCATTTTAGCTATTTTTACATATAATTTTTTTCTTTATTTTATTAATAAAATATATTTTAAAAATATTTTTTTCTTGTATCAGCAGAATCAGCCAATGCAGCCACTTCAACCAGAACTTCATAAATTTCAGCAGAATCGGCCAGAACAGCCGATTTTCATGCTGCCAAACGGGCTCTAAATGGCACCTCAGCTGATTTTTATTTTGTGCCAATATCTAAATTTTCCCATATTCTACTACTAGGCCTTGTGTGCTTTACGAAAAACAGGATGCATGTAAAACTTTTTTTAAAACAACAATTCATTTGGATGGATGGAGTATCAATTGATACTATGTTAATTAATTGTTTCTTTAAATAAATTGATTCATACCGAGTTAGATAACACGTTTTTTTGTGTACACCAAGCATTTATCGATAAGCCTCTTAACATATTTATGTGATTGAAATCGATTTTACTTAACACTTGTTTTCTCTTAGAAAATTCAGTACATTCAACCATTCTATAGATTTAATGGACTCTTATACATAAGAGTCGGGTTAATCTCTTATACATAAGAGTCGGGTTAATCTCTTATACATAAGAGTCAGGTTAATCGAGATTGGATAGTTAGGGTATGTTTGGCACAAAGAGCTGAAAAGATACTTTTGTGAGCATTTTAATAACTGTTAGCTTTTAATGACTGAAAAGATCTTAAAGAGAAAAGGTGATAGGTGCTTGGTAAAAAGCTGACTGTTTGATTTCGTTCGGTTTGGTATACAAGCTGTTAGGACTAATTAATACTAAAAGTCACAGGCTTGGTTCAGATGCTACTCCTTGTAGCAGCTCAAAAGAGATCTTTTAATTTTTGAAAAACTCTTAAAAATTGTCATGTTAAACATATAACTAGAAGCTTTTAGAGACTTTTTGAACAATACAAAAGCTAGAAGGTAAAGACTTATGTGTGTCAAACATAACCTATCTTCTTTTATGAGATAAGATAACATTCAAAGCCAATTCTCCACTTTAGTTTATATGGATATTATGCATGAAGGGTAATTCAGGTATAGCAGCATCACTTTTGAAGTTTTAATGAATTTTGGTTATAATATGTGGATCTATCACTTGTATGAGAGATTCCTGAAACAAAAAGATAGAGTTTTTACTAGCTAGGTGAGCAGTGGCTAGTTGTGTTCCGAGGTAATCACAAAGCAGAGGAGATGAAAGATTCTTTTTAGAGGGGGTGATGATGAAATAATGTGTTGATGATGATGAATACTACGGAATTGGATTTGGGGTACACACTTTTGTATACACATTTATACATGTTTGTGTAAGGTTTTTTTTATATATGTACAGACATAACGTATTTTTAAAATACGTTATGTCTGTACAAGCATAAAAAAACCTTACACAGCATGTGTAAAAAGTGTGTACACATAAAATGTGTACACATAAAATGTGTACCTTTATAATTTTTCAATACTAGTACTCCGTAACAGTTTCGGGAACAAAAGGAAGGGCTGACTCTGCCACGAGCTTTATTTGTTGTTGTTTTTAATAATTTCAAAGAGGAGATGATTGTGTCAGATTGTGTATATCTATGTGTCTGGCCTTGCCCAACACCAGTAAGGGAATCCAATGCAATGGGTCGTGCGGCCTGTGATCATTGTTTTTTTATATTGCTACAGTTTTTTTTTGTAAATTAAATCTTAATACTATCGTATGTACTAGTACTAATATTATTTAAATCTTAATATTTAAATCTAATATTAGTACGATATTATTTATATCGTATGTGCTTGAAAAAGTAAAAGTTGTGGTTGAGTTTTAAGTATAGTAAAGTCAAATGTTGTAGGCTACATATTTTTTTCAAAAAAAGAAATGAGACACTTATTTTGGGACAAATCAAAAAAGAAAGTAAGACAACTAAAATGGACGGAAGGAGTGATAATTTGTAAATATTACCTCCCTTCTAGTTGGACTTTGCCAAGTTTAAGTTGATGTGAAATATGAAAAGTAAAAGCTACTCTCTTAGTCCTTTGAAACTTTGTAAACTTTCGTTTTTTGGATGTCCCACTAACTTTGTCACTTTCATTTTTAAATAAAGAATTTGTGATTCCGGTTAACTCTCGCTCCTCTGCACAAATCTCAACCACACAGTTTTTACTTTATTAATTCTCGTACTGATCAAACTTGGCAAAATTTTAAGAGAGGAAGGGAGTATATATGAGATGAGGTTTGTGAAGATCGGAAGAGGGAGAAATAAACAAAACTATGAATTCGCTTCAAAATGAAAATGACAAAGCTTAACACAAACAAAAAAGAAATGTTAGTAAAGTTTAATGAAAGGGAGGGAGTATAAAAATATTACTTCCTCCTTTCAAAGTTCATCTCCTCCACCTTTTATATGGATTAAGAAACTACGTTATGTTATTGAAATTCATTTTAATTTGGAATGGATAAAAAAAGAAAGAGTGGAGATAATTTTAGGTAGAAGTATTGTAAATATTTACACCGGCCTTCAAATCCAAGCAAGACAAAGGGATATAGGGTTAATTAATTAGCATCTTTTAGGTAAATACTATTTAGTATTAGTACTCCTATAGCCATGTCAGGATTTTTTTTTTTGCAAAACAATAGGTGTATTTTTACCCACTTTCACATTTTTGAATGATGAAAACAATATTATGATTTTATGTGTTTGGTAAGTAACATGTGAGCTTAGAGCATGTCAAATAGATCGAAATTGTGAAATTCAAACATGTTTAGAAGATCAGTGAGGGTGGTCCAAATGATCACATCCCACTTAAAGATCTTCCATGTGGAAGGCCTTAGACTCAGGTCCCTAAATGGATGAATATAGGATGCTTAATTTTCTCCTATAATGCTCAGATGAATCAAGTTTCATCTAGCCTCATTGTTATATATGAACCTAACAATGTTTCACTAATTAGTGTTGGTTATCCCTTGAATTGTGCTAGTAACCCACGAAATCAACCAGTTTTAGGCGATTTCTTATGCGGGGAGATGTATGTAGATGGGCGTTTCAGTTGATAAGATTTACTTCTAACAAGAGTTTAAGTGGATGATATCCTAAGGCTAGTCTAGTGAAATTAGGATCACTTAAACAAAATATACTAAGAATGGTAGTGTTTAAGTTTATGGATTTATAATAAATTCTAAATACTCCTTCCGTCCCGGAATTATCTTTACACTTTCCTTTTCGGTCTGTCTTAAATTTATCTCCTCTTTCCATTTTTAGCAAAGAATTTGTGGTTCACAACCATTCTTACACATTCTTACACATTTCTCTTTCCTCTGCACCACTCTCCACCACACATTTCTCACTATCTTAATATGTGTGTCAATTGTACTTGTGAAGATAAATATGGGAGGGAGGGAGTATCAAATTTTCTTGCTAACTGCTATACTATCGGGGCAGAAATTGGGACCAGAGTTCCAAAGTGAATAGTTGGAGGTATACACTGATATTAACATCCCTCGATTACGCAGAACAATGAACAGTGTGGCTCCCCATTCCCAATATAGCTGACACTTTGTACTCCCTTCGTCCCTAAAAGGATTGCCAAGTTTATGTGGTACGTAGAATAAAAAAGAAAAAACTTTGTGGTAGAGATTTGGGCAGAGGAGAGAGAAATAACAGGAACCACATATTGATTAACTAAAAGGAAAAATGACAAAGTTTTTGGGACAATCAAAAAAGGAAAGTTGGAAAAGTTATAAGGGACGGAAGGAGTATAATACTCTCTCTGTCCCTTAAAGGTTTGCCAAGTTTGACCGGCAAATAGAATAATCAAGTAAAAATTGTGTGGTAGATATTTGTGTAGAGGAGAGAGATAACAGGAGCCACAAATTGATTGATTAAAAGGGAAAGTAGCAAAGTTTTGGGACTACCAAAAAAGGAAGTTGACAAAGTTATAAGGGATGGAGGGAGTATGTGGGAGATAACACCGAAGATAGGATGCCCTTGTGAAACGAATTACATGGTGTGGAGAAGAGGCAGAGAGGAGAGGGAGAAGACAACCCAACCAAATGTGGATTAGAGTGGTTAGAAATTATATGGTCCTTCTTGGGATTAGATGAGATATGGAGTTATGGAATTCAGGGACTAAAATAATGTCTGTTTTTCCCAATTCATCCAACAATCAAATAAAATATATAGAGTAGAGAAGAAATAGCTTTGGTTCAATACCAAGATTGATGGAAAAATAACCTTGTTTATCTCAAATATTGATCGCAAACTTCCAACGATTGCAGAATAGCGTTAAATGCATATTACTCAAACCAAAATGTCGAAAATCAAATTTTCGAATACAAAGGCCTTTTTCGAAAATGGTAGATCCAAAAAATTGAAGATGGATTCAATCTATTTCACGCCTCGGTTCTGATACCATTTTTTTCCCAATTCATCC